AAGCCAGAACCTAAGTAAAAGAGGCCTCATAGACTCTGCTTTCTCAGACTCTGAGGTGATTGTGACAGAACTGAGCAATTATGATGGTATGCTGTGGCACCACCATAGGATACTTTACTTTTCCATACAGACGACTTCCAAAAATAACACAAGGGTTCTTTTAAGTCTCACTAAAATATCTGGATGGGAATATCAGGATGCAAGGCTCATAGGCAGGATGCAATCTACATTTCTGCAGATCTCCTGGACATGTGGAAAGTAGCATGCAGGGATCTTGTCATGGGTTTCCCTGCATATTCTTTGCAAAGTGTAATACTTTCTAAGAGTCTTAGGGACTATGCCATGGATTTTAGTGACATTATGTCATGGCTGCAAAGTGAGAACACATTTCTCTGGATTCCTTGCAGCATTACAAAGGCTTCTGTGACATGTCCCTCACTCATATAGCTTTAGGTGTTACATCGGTAACTTATAAAAATAATTGTATCGCTGCTGTAATTTACTCTGAAGGTAAATTTACTCGGGAATTTGAAATATGAAATATATTTTCAAGCAGAGATTTGAGTATTCTTTTTTAATTCATCCCAGTTTGTATTTTAATCTTGGAATTTCTCTCTGTCTCTCAGCATTCATCATCAGTTAGAGCCAGTTTGGTTTAGTGGTTAAGGCATCAGGCTAGAAACCAGGAGATCATGATTTCTAGACCTGCCTTAGGCATGAAGCCAGTTGGGTGACCTTGGGCCAGTTACTCTCTCTCAGCCCTAGGAAGCAGGCAATGGCAAACTACTTTTTAAAAACCTTGCCAGTAAAACTGTAGAAACTAGTCCAGGTAGTTGCCAGGAATCAAAAACTGACTTGAAGGCACCAAAAAAAAAAAAAAAAAAACCCCAAAAAAACAAACCCCCCCCATCATTGTACTAATACTTAGAATTATCAATCTCTAACTGTAATGGGAATATTGTACATTATTAGCAATTCTGACAATATTATGTCAATTAGTGTTTCTTTGGTCCATGAAGAAACATATCACTTTGCATTAAAGAACTTTCTATGCCGTTATATTTTGTCCTGAAATAACATATTTTACTATTCTTTTATTTATACAATTTTTACCTTATTTTCCAGCAAAAGTATTTCCAAAGCAGGTTCTACTTCATATATCTAACCACATATAAAAGTCCCCAATGGGGACTTACTCCTATAAACAACTTTCCTTTTTTTCTTCAATATTGAATGTTGAATATTACTTCTGTAGAATTGATCAGATATCCTGAGTCTCTTCCTTGACCAAATAGTGTTTAAAGGCATAGCAGTTATTAGTCCTAGAGAAGATAAATACATTTTTAAAAGTTTGGTTTCTTTTCCCCTTCTTTTATTTCCCAGACATTTCATCATCCATGAAATCAAAGAGATATAGTGAAACATTATGGAGAAAGTTGCAATTGTAGTAGACAATGGCAGCAGCTTCTGTCGATCTGGCTTTGCAGGAGAAGAAAAACCAAGAATTGTCATGAAAACTACATATCTTCCTCCTATCTATCATCCTGTCTGTTCTCTCAGTGGTGAAAAATTGCAAACTCAGCCACTTAAGCATGGCATTATAATAGATTGGCAAGCTATGGAGAACTTATGGAGCCATCTCTTCTACTGTGGGTTGCGAATTTCCACCGAGGACCATCCCATATTGACAAGTGACTCCCCTTCCTGTCCCACCACAAATAGAGAGAAGATAGCAGAGGTATTTTTTGAAGGCTTTAGTGTCCCAGCTTTGTATGTGGCCAATACAGGGTTCCTCTCACTCTGCTACTGTGGTAGAATCACTGGACTGGCTGTAGAAGCTGGGGCAGGGATTTCCCACGTCACTCCAATATACTCTGGACAAACCTGTATGGAAGGCATCCATCGATTGGATGTGGCTGGCAAGGGTCTCTGCAAATACATGCATAACTTGTTGCTGAACAGCTCTAATGATTTATGTCTTCTTAGGACCCTGAACAAAAAGATGGTAACACAGCTTAAGAAAAAATACTGCTATATATCCATGGACTACAAAAGGGATCTCCAGGAGAAAACTTGCCAGAAACCTGTGAGCATTGAGACCCCTGATGGGCACTTGTTAACTATAGACAAAGAACGCTTTTGCTGCCCAGAGCCACTGTTCAAACCACATCTGCTCAGCCAGAGCTCTCCAGGGCTTCATCATTTGGTTTTCCAAAGTCTGCAGAAGGTTCCAGATGAATTCAAAGGAGAAGTCATTAATAATGTTGTGTTATCAGGAGGTTCCTCATTGTTTCCTGGTTTTCCAGAGAGGATGTGCTTGGAACTGAATGCTTTATTCCATGGTAGAGAATACTTTATTAAAATTCTGGCTTCCCCCAAAAGAAGTATAGCAGTTTGGCTTGGGGGTTCTTTGGCAGCCTCCCTCAGCTCTTTCCAAAGCTTGTGGATGAGAAAACAAGACTATCAAGAGTATGGAGCAGCATATGTGCACAAGAAATTTAAGTAGGTAAAGATATGTCTCAGTGACAAAGTAGACTATCACCCCATCCATTAAAATGGATCTAAGGCAAGACATTAATGGGGAAGAGAAAGACAGCACAGTTTGCTTTCTACTTCTGACTGTTTTTTCCTATCCAGCTGAAATTCGATTGATTTCAGTTCTTAACTCTCTTTAAAAGTGGGAGTTAAAATGCTTCACTAGTGCTTGATTGTATTCAATCTCTTTGACAATCCCAAGGTAAATATGAGAAGAGAAAAATCTATGGACAAAAGTAACTTCTATGCTGTGAATATTCAGAGAAGTATAATTCATTGCAACATTACTGTGTTAATATACTCTGTAATCAAGCTAGATCATTACACTATATTTTCATAACTGTTTTCTGAAAGCTGAAAAAGAAGTATCCTGCAAGCAACAAGCTATTAACACAGACACTGCCTGAATATACTCATCTTTCATACTATTTATTTTATTTTATTTATTTAGTGGACTTGTCCCTGCCCATCTCCCCACAATGGCAATAATAGCAGGGAAGGCCTATATTCCTTGTAAGAGAAAACCCTTAACTAGATTCATACCTGAATGGTGGCTGCTCAGATACAAAACAGTGTAAATACAAAATATTAAATTATATTATTTATAGCACATTCTTATTATTTCAACAAGAAAAAAATCAGTACAGTTACGTGAAATCATACATTGGTATAGAACTAACATAAATCCACCATAAAAAGCAATAATCCTTTATATGCATAATATTTAGATTGCTTCAAATACCACACAAGGCCATACTGTACATTTCAGTAGATTATAAAAGCAATTTCTCAAAAAAAGCTATCCTACAGTTAATCCTGACCCTAATAAATGTTTGAGCTTATGTATATGAAATGTAATAATCAGCAATTATCGTGCTTATAAGTACTTTTTTTTTCAGAGTGGGACAGTGGAATTTGTTTAGAGTGTTAAAAGATAGTGACCCTATTGATATTCTATACTTGGATTTTCAAAATAAATTTGGCAAAGTTCCCCATCAAAGGTTCTTGAGTAAATCTAATGGTCATGGGATAAGAGGACCTGTCTGTTTATGGCTAACTGGTTAAAAAACAAAAAGCAGAGAGTAGGAATGGATGAGCAATGGTCTCAATGAAGAGAAGTGAGAAATGAAATCCCTCAAGGATCTGTGTTGAAATTAGTGCTTTTAAACTTATTTATAATTGAACTCAACCTAGGAGTAACCAGTGAACTGGCCAAGTTTGTAGATGATACTAAACTATTCAGGAAGTTGGAAACAAAAAGTGATAGTAAGAAGTTCTAAAAGGATCACTTTAAACTGGGCACATCCAAAATCCAGGTTTTTCTCTGTATAGAAATAGTCTGTATTTTAATTTTATAGGATTCTAAAATAGAACAGATTTTTATTAGTATAGACATAATTTATTGCAGTTCATAATTTTATTTTATGATTTACATTGTGCTGACCATGATTTTTGATATCTATGCTTTGTTTACAACTTAGTAGAGATTTTCAAGTGTTTAAAATTATTTAACATTTAATTACTTATAATCAATTAATGATATACTGGAAAATTATAATCTCCATGACACTTGTAAATCTCTTGCTTATTTATTTGTATCCAACTGTTCTATCCCTTTCTTTTGTTATTTTTTTCTTCCTTGTTTATATATTTTCTCTAAAATGTCTAATAAAAATACTTTTTAAGAATTTTTTTTACATATTTGTGATACAATCTTTTTCCTAGAAGGTTTCTTGTTAATTATTCACTTAAGTTTCATCACAGACACCAGATTCAACAATAATAGCAAGTTTCACTAGTTAGTTAGACAGAATCAAAAGTTCAAAATGCTGTTTGTTCATATAAATGACTAAACTTTCAAAGTACTGCCAGTGGTGCTATAAACAAATCTAGTAATTTCTGTTTCTTTGCAAGTTCCAAGCTCTGCTGGAGATAAATGCAACCTTAATTTCAGCTGCCTTGTTCCTCCATTGGCCTCCTTGCTGCCATTCCTACAAACCTAACAAGAGATGATAATGATAAAAGAACAGGGAAGGAGAATTTGTGGTGGATCATTCATAGTATGATTCAATTCATGCTTTCTGAATTAAACCTATACCTTAGTAGATGTATTTAGGACTGCAGAAAGAAACCTGGACCTTATCGGTATGACAGTAATTAAATATAGAAAACTGACCCATTTTATATACTCATAAAACCTTGGATATTGTAGATGACCCAAAGATGCTTAGCTAATTGCCTCTGGGAAGCCCTGCCCCAGTTTGGAACAGATTAAACTAATGATTCCTTTAACTGATCTCTGAAGTGCACACTCCTTTCCGATGAGTGCCATAGATGCTTGGAATGTACCTTAGCTGGACTTCCATTCCATTGCATCAAGTATATTCGAAAGTAGGTAAATTGTGGCAATGGAAGCTAATTAAAGCCGTCCATAAAAACAATACTGGAAATGAACTCACGCTTACCAGTTTGGTTTTATCCATAGCTGACAGGACAGCAGTGTTGAGCTGCTCCAGAGCAGACAAAACATGTCTGTATTCTCCAAGATGTTCTGAGAAATACTCTGCAGCAGAAAGGAAGAAAATACATTTGTTATTGTATTCTGCCACACAACCACCTGTTCCATTTGCAAATCCTTCTCAAAGTACTTCAATTACAACCTGCAATTTTCCTACTCCATCCTCCCATCTCAAGAAAATTTGGAGCTTTCAGGGAGCACCGTCATGCAATCATTGCAATGCTCAAGTTAGCCGATAGCTGAACTCTGAGAAATGGCAGCCAACCAGTGCTCATTGGCTTCAGACTTGCCACTTGCTGAGCTCACTTCCCCCTTGTGAGATTTTCCCAGGGCTCCGTGAATTAACAAACAACCCATCTCCCATCATGAAAAAAGAAGCCAAGAAGCCTTCTGTTCAGCGTAGCATAAATTTAGCACACCGTATGAAGTGTGTTTGCCCAACAAATCCTGCTAGTGCTACAGATGCATTCAAAGACTTTTCCTTAAGCTGGGCTGACTGAAACACAGCTGGGAGGCAGACAGTCTGTAGTCCATCCAGTGAGAAAGTAGAAGCTGACAAACACCGGGTGACCTGGCTGGAATAAAAGTTTCATCAGGAACTAAAGCATGGGGCTGGGCGGGGGGGATCTCTGGTTTTTACAGCATAGTTAGGAGGGAGTGTTTCAGACTTTGCAGTGCGTTACCCAACTGGTTGGCTGTCAACAGTGTACAACCAGCAGGGGGTGTATAATAAAAATTGTCATGCAGAAGGGCTCATTAATTCAAAAGCAGCATGCCATTTTATCCTCAGGTGGTTTTTAAAGCAATTCTTAAAAGAAAAGTAGCCTCTATTATCATATAATCTGTACTTCATCATCACTATCAATTGTCCGTGGCATTACAGAATAGTAAGTGCAGGTTCCTCAACATGGCACTTTTTGGATGTGTTACAACTGAAACTCCTAGAATAACTTTGGCCAAGCTGCTGGGAATTTTGGCAGCCATGGTCCAAGCACATCTCTAGGGCACCATACTGGAGGCGGGAACAAGCTTTTGTCCACTGTAGTATCCTGGGAGGAAAAATAGACCACATCTAAGAAGGGGCAAAAAACCAAATATATCAGAGAAAGTTAGGAAGTATATATTCCATAGCAAGGGAAATTATTGAGCTACTTACCACACAACCTCTCGGTCTCTAAATTGCTGTAGAAGACACATAGAGAGAAGGAAAAAAAATATTTGCATGAGATGATGAATTGGGGCTTGAGGGAAATAGTTGCTGGAAGAAGCAAAGTGGCAACTGTCAATTAAAGTTGCTGACTAAATCTTCATTTCAAATATTACACAAACTAGTACTCTTTGAAGTATTTCAAAATATGTCATACGGTAGGCCTAAGCATTGGTCTGTTTAAATCCATAAAGTTTTGCAGTATATAATTTTAAACATTGGACTTCAAGGTCTTATGAGAATACTATTCAGATAATGTATCTTCCAATTATCATACTGTACTACAAATATGGTAAGTCTGAGTGGGCCCTGGGGGAAGACCTGTTATCATGGCCCTCTGACTCAACATTGTCTCTGCCAATCAGAGCCATTCTCCAGAATTCTGAGAGGGGAGGGGACAGAGGAAAACATGGGCAGAGGTCCTGCCTCTTTAACAGAAGGGACAGGTATTATGTGGCCCACAGCCTTCAGGCCACCTTGCCCTAATGTTCATGATTTTTGTATCCACTTCCATCACCAATCCTGCCCCATTTCTGTATAAATAAGGTGGGGTCAGTAGATAGAGGGGGGATAGGGAGGAAACAGAACAAATGAGACTGACTGTCACACTGAAATTCCCTCTTCTAAACAAATAGGAAAGATTTTTCTCAGCTTTGTCATGATAGGAAACTGCCTGTAAAACACTCTGTTGAAGCACTTCTCACATGAGAGTTGGAGAAATATTTACTCAAAAGAAAGTACATTGAGTTCTGTGAGGTGTTTTGCTAGGTAAGTAAACAGAGGATTCCATATTCTCTTTTTCTGACTTTGCCTACCGTTGCAGAGCTCTGTTACGCAAGACAACTCTTTTCTAAGTTTCCTATGGCCATATTGTAAGTTTCCCACAGTGCAGTTTTTGGCTTTCCATCTCAGTAATAATATTGTGCCATCTGTTTCAGTGAAAATAGATGCTTCTGTTAGACCAACAATTTTTAAAAAGGAAAATGGTGAAAAAGAACATTAGAGAGGAATTATATTTCGATGCCAGTAGCAAAAACAACCACAATTGTGCCCTCATATACAGTCTTTACATGATACACACTGAAAATAGACTAGTCACAGGCCATGGCTACAATCCTATGTACAATTACCTGAGAGTAAGCCCCTTTGAACACTGTGGTGAATGCTAAGGAGGATCAATTCAATTGTAATGTTATGCTTAGTTTGATTAATGCATCAGAATATGGAAAGCTAGTATGATTAAGGAAATTAGCTGCTTTAAAGCAGGTAGTGGCAGACAGAGATTGAAGTGGGGTCTGCTAATTAATCATTTTCTGGATGGTTTTTCATATATGGCAGTCTTTGCTTCCTGAATACACTATTAGTTTTTAACCTTAGCTGCTAAGCTTTCAGGATTTATTACAGCATTTTAATAAAAGCATTTAAGGTGTTTGATAGCTTCTTTACAGCTAAAGATATGTATGTGTATGAATGACCACACTGCATAAGAACATATTGCTTCCTGCTTCCATAAGAATATATTGCTTCCATTGCATTTCATACTTACTGGGCCCTTTTTATCTTCTGAATTTGTAACAAACACTAACCAATTAATAATTAAAATGCTGAATAATTTATTGCTGAGGAAGAAAAACCAGGCTGCTAAGATGCTATAAAATGGAATGCTGACTGCCTAGATTGTAGAACAGAAATATTATGCTTTAATTGTTCTCTGAGTAATAGATTACAGTAGTATATTCCTTGTATATGACTACGTTTATGGTGCATTAATTCTCTCCAGCCAAATTTTCCTTGGGCAACTCTAGGAACAAGCATCAAAAGAATGTATAATGGCACCAGTCATTTTCAAATTGTTTTGCCAACATGAAATTGTGCTTCTTTTAACCTCTTGAAGGCATGGCAATAAAAAGTGGGATAATGGTAGTAACCATCATTATGAAGTGGATGGTAATTTAGCATTCATAGAGTTTGGTGCTCAAAACTCTTCAAGAAAATGTTATTGTATTGTTTACAAAACTTAATAAAGAAGTTCTTCACTTTATTCCTGTATTACAGATGGAAGGCTGTAAGACTGAAAAACATTGACTGGATAAGTTCATTGTGAGCCAGGGTGAGATGTGAGTCATGGGCTCCTGATTTGTAGGATTAGCAGTGGTATATATTCCCCCTGCCATCTGCCCCTGTAGGGCACCTACCATCAAGGGCCCTGGAAGGATTCCAGAAATGAGACCGTGAGGCAGGCAAAAGTAACACCAACAACATCTTTCCACAACAGAGGGTCCCCCCATGGGTCCTATGTTGTATAGCTTCTTTCTCCTGTTTTGTTTTTATAGGAAAATGGCCAGTTCAGGCACAACAGAATGGGGGAACTTCCCATGATGATAAATGGTCTCTCTCTCGCTCTCTCCCTTTTTTTTTTTTGCTGAGGTTTGAGGAAATACTTTTTAGTGGTAAGTGTAATTCGAAACATCTTCCAAAAGGAGGGGCTCTGGGTGGTTCACAACAAAACAATTTAAAATCAATAAAAACATAAATAATACAAATATAAAATACAA